CCCCCCCCCCCCCCATTCATTTTAGTTTTAGCAATATTAACTACAAATGAATGCTATGTCCACCCTGTCATGTATCATGTATGTGTCATGAGTCTAAAACAACGACAGGGTGGACATTTTGAGCTTCAATTAGCATATTAGCTTACAACAAACTGTGACTAGCTAAATAGTTAGTCTGGTTGTTGAAGAGAATTTGGTATATTTAAACTTACATATTTTGAAAATACTGTATTCTAATCACTTCTGACATATTTAATGCTGACAGGGTGGACATGTTAAGCTTTGGCAAAGCAAGTAAGCAAAGTCATACAAAGAAAATTTGTCAATTGAAAAGTCACCAACTTACTCAACTCAGCTGTTGAAATTCCCGCCACTGAAGAAACAAAAAAATCTGTTGTCTTGATGTCACTAAAGGGGATGGCCTTTTCTTAAAGAAACCATTCAAGGGACATGGACAAACTATTCGTTTTTATTAAATAAAAATATCGTTTTTATTACCAAATGATCAATACACTCAAATTGAGTAATCTCTTATTTAACAAAATATTAATAGGAGAACAAAAATTTTTAATTTTATGATTTGACAATATTCTACTATCATTCAAACACATAATTAAATATAGCAAAATAACACACGTCCTCTTACACAAAACTAAAAATAAAACCTAGAAAATGTATCTAAAGAGCCAAGTAATGCTTTTGTTATGAATATAAAAACTTAGCCTAATATAACACACCCTTTCATATTCATTTTTATGTTACGTTATCATGGCAAATTAGTTATTTATGTACAGGACACCAAAAGGCACCCTACAGTGATATTGACCCATATATTTAAAAAATGGTATATATTAGCTGGTCTTCCAGCCTGGTCATAGCTGGTTTGCAGGATGGTGTTAGAGGGGTTTTGACCACGTTTCAATTTTTTTTTTTTTTAGCTGGCCATCTTGACTATCTTAGCCAGTCTGGGAGGCCAACTATAACCAGCTACTTTCAACTTAAAACAACTAAGACCAGCCAACCATCTCAGTCTAGTTTTAGCGTTCTCAGCATGGTTAATATAATATTAATATAATAATAACTATTAATAATTCATTCAACAGTTTCATTGCACGAATTTCTGGAATACTTATCTCAGATAGGTCAGTTGCAGCAGCTTATGTGGGTTAAAATATTTAGTATGATACCGCTAAACTGGACGTTTCACCGTTGCCCATGGCAACATACCGGCGGTGGCACCATGAATGCGAGAGAGCTTAAAAAATAAGTAGACATGTTACTTTGTAGCTAAATATGCTAATTATTGATCCAATATTAATAAATATTATAAAATATGTATTAATGATTATTAACAATAGTGTAAGTAGTGCTTTAATATTGTTTTTACAGTGTTCGTTTTGTTCCTAGAAGTAGCCTATTTCAGGTCCAACTGTCCTATTCATTCATTCATTTATCTCAAATAGCCTACACTATTCGTTTATATATGCACGAGCACCACATGGCCATAATAATATTGAGATTTTAAAATAAAAGCACCCCCATCCACATCGAGAATGACAACACATACAGTAAATACTCTCATAAGAAGGAAAATGGCCCAGTTTGGCCCAGGAATCGTTAGTAATCAATAGTGTGAAGCACACGGGGATATATTGAGTCCACTTTGCTCTCAGGCTGCACGCCTCGCTGGCTCGTAACGTGAGACACGGGGGAAACAACAGGGAAATATTTCATCCACACCGACTCCTCTTAAACAAATATTTGAGCTATGCGCTGATGTTTTTCATCCCCAGCAGACGGACCGCTGTAACGATACATTCTTCTCCGCGATTAATTTAATGACGCTTTAATCATGTAACATCAGACTGCCCATTGTGGCCCATGGCACACGCACACCACGGGAGAAGTTTGCCCACAATTTCTGTCGCACGGATGGTTATGTGGATTGTACCTGCTCATAGTGCTCCCTTTGTGCCGCGGTGCATGCTGGGTGCCGTGCAGCACCTGTTCACGGAGAGACACGGAGAGTGAATGCTCGCAGCGCCAGACCCGCTCAGGTCGGGTTTCTCCGGGATCGCACTACGTCTGCGGGCTGATTTCTCTGCCCGAGGTATTGTTCTGTATCGCTGCATCGGAGCCATACGAGAGCGGGCCATGAGGACTTTTCCCAAAAACAGAAGCTGCGAAGTTTACAGCGTCTCTGGTTTGGGAGCCTGGGCCCCCGCCGGTGCACCTGCACAGGTAAGAGACCATCCATCAGCACCGCAGGCACAGACACAGCGACTAGAGCGAATTCAACACTATCATGATGCTTCTGGGCACTTTTGGCGTGTTATTTGGCGTTAGATTTATTCTTACTTATAAAATACGATTGTGTGAGGGAAACATTGTTCAAACGTATGTATGTAGCCTATATCTGTTTTTAGTCTCAAACTTTGATATATTATTCCTGTTTTAAAGTACATTAATTTGTAGCAGATAAATACAGGAATAGTATTAATTAATGTATTTTAATTTGTAGCTGATAAATACGGGGAAATGTTATTTAGTATGATTAAAATAAAACGATTTTTTTTTTCTTTACCACCTCATTTTATACATTTTAAGGACACATTTTATCTTAAAGCAAATAGAAATAAATTTAGAAATACACAAATCATATCTAATTGTAAGTTAGTCACTCACAGTTGGTGCAAATGCTGGTCTATATTCTGTGCAAATCTTTGTGGGTGCAATACAAGTACAAGTTTATTAGTTGTTGTTTTTTAACAAGCTTGCATGGATGTTAAATATACAAAAGAACATGCTGACTCAGATTATATATGAAATTATACTTTTTCAAAATTGCCTTCACATGGTGGTCATATGCATCTATGGTTCCATGAAGAACATTTAACCATTTCTATTGACCCTTTCCATTCTTCAAAAAGTTCTTTATAGTGGAAGTTTCTTTAGATTTTTACAATGTTCTTTACACTAAGACAAAAAATGGTGCACACTAAGAAAAAAAGCTATTCACTGAAAAGTTCTATGGGGAACCAAAATGGTTCTTCAATGGAATCACTGTGAAAACCCCTTTTGGAGTCTTTATTTTTAAGAGTTTCCCATTTCTAATTGGTTAAACTGACGTGTTACAACTCACTTCGTGTTACAACACTCCTCACTCTCTCCCATACAAATTTACAAAAGATATTTTAAGCTCATTTCAGCTGTGTTAATGAATTGAAACCTTTTATTTTGACCATGGGTTGCCTGTGTCTAAACGTTGGTCTTGATAGTCTCATGAATGTGCTTGTCAAAGATGGAGTGCTGACACCGCTGAGAGGGGCCGTGGGAAAGCAGACCCTCAAATTACGCTTTGTGCGACTCCACAGGGGAATCCCACCAGGATATCCTAGTTCCGCGACCCCTTCCTCCTAATGAAAAGATGTTTAGAATGATGCGGCAGGAAGCCAATCAAATACGACACATAGGGTGTTGTAGGGTGACAGAAAGGTTGCGATAGTGATCATGACTAAGAGTAGTAGGCCTATGCTGTCTCAACAAGTGATGTTAAGGCAAAGTTTCTCGACTTGTGTTTAGGAGGACTTTGTGACGAAACCCACCCAGAGGTCAAGCCCATCTAGCATCAAGAGCCCGGCGGGCAAGAGAGCGAATTGCAGGGCATGGAGTAAGTGGGCACTGAGAGCCTCCCCCCTCCTCCCTCTCTCGGCTGCCATTGCACTGACTCTCCATTTTCTTGCATGTAAGTTAAGACCCTGTGCTGTAGAGGAATGCTGAGATTATGATCTGGTATGTTCCAGTATAGCTAGTCAAGCCTCTCATCCTTGGCCGTCCAAGGAGATTCTTCAAGGGGAGCTTGAAAATGTTCCTGTTTTGTTTGATAGGCTACGCATATACACTGAGCTGCTAGATATGTTTTTAAATACATGTGATATATGTGATCCCCCAAAATACAGTGACAACAGTAATATTGTGAAATATTAGTACAAATTAAATTAACTGTTTTTTAGTGAAATATATTTTAAAATGTAATTTATTCCTGTGATGGCAATGTTGAATTTTTAGCAGCCATTCTCCAGTCTTTACTTTAGTGTCACATGATCCTTCAGAAATCATTCTAATATGCTGATTTTGGTGATTTCTTATTACCGTTATCAATGTTGAAAACAGTTGTGCTGCTTAATAGTTTTTGTTGAAACGGTGAATACATTTTTTTTTATGATTCTTTGACAAGCAGAAAGTTAAAAAGAACAGCATTTATTTGAAAAAGAAATATTTTGTAACATTATAAATGTCTTGTCACTTCTGATCAATTTAATGCATTTAATGCACCCTTTCTGAAAAAAAATATTAATATTAATTCTAAAAAAGACTTTACTGACCCCCAAAATATTTGTAGTGTATGTATTATTTTTAGGGCTGTCAAACGATTTACTCACGATTAATCCAAAACAAAAGTTTGTGTTTACATAATATATTTGTGTGTACTGTGTATATTTATGTATATATAAATACACACACATGCATGTTATGCATGTATATATTTAAAAAAATGTTGTATATATTTTCTATGTTGTAATTATATATATATATATATATGCATTTTTTATATATATATACATTTGTGTGTATTTATATATGCATAATAAATATACACAGTACACACACATATATTATGTAAACACAAACTTTTATTTTGGACATGATTAATCATGATTAATTGCGTGACAGCCTATTTTAGTGTTTCACAACTTTTTTTGTGAAATATTTTGCTTGAAAGTATCTGTGTGCTTCTGTCTTTAAAATAAACGGCACTTGATTTGATATTTTATTATATAATCCAACAGTACAGATAATTTTCATCAACATTTAAACTTTTTAAAGCATTTTAAAATGTTTTGTGTTATCTCTGAATGTATCATCTCTTCATATAAGTGTTCCTGTTCCTGCAGCCTCTCCATCGCTCTCAGTGTTCTACCTTGGAGGAAGCATCGAGTTCTCCAACCTCAGTTTCTCTCCAGACCTGGCAGACCCCTCGTCTACACAGTTCCGTCTCCAGTCTCAGGCGCTAAGCCATTATGTAAGCATAAACATACATAACAGTTTCTCTGTGCCGCCCTCGGCAACAAAGCCGGTTTCTCCGTGATCTCTCCGGAATGCGGCCGCTCTCCAGAGACCACTCAAGGGACGATGCTCGGCCCTGGCACTTTCAAACGCAAAATCCGCCAGAGCTGCAGGTCCAGTGGTGCGCTCGTCCCACATTGTCACCCTTTTAAATGTAAAGCAGGCTCTGCTGAGTCTTCGGCCGCTCTGTGGCCCTCTTAAATGTAAAGCCAGCTGTAACCGGAGCCCGGCTTGGTGTGAGGCGGCGCGGTGAGACCGGCTCCCAGAGGATGGCGGCTTTTCAGGGCCGAGGACAAGAACGGTGTTTGTGAGAGGGACAGGGCCCAGGTAGGCTGAGTGAGAGGAAGAGCAGTCCTTCAATAAAAACATTGTCTGTGGCCTTCCTCACACACAATCAGATGCTCTGTACCTCTTTGCTGAGAGGCTGCAGCCAGCAGAGAAAAGAAAGGTAGACCAGGGGACAGAGTAGGCCAGGAGAGAGAGAGAAAGTAAGGATTTAGGGCACCGAAAGAGAGCGCAGGAAAGTCTGGGCCAAAAAAGCCAGTATCATGGGAATGGTTGGCATTTGTGTCTGCATTAGGTGCGAGATTAATAGAGGCCGATGAGGAAGCCGGCCAAGTGTGGCTTCTCATCCGGCGCGATGCTCTAATTAGCCTAAACGTAACCTGTGTCGTGGCTGTAATCCCGTTTAATATCGAGCGAATGCGATTGTGAGAACTGACGGCCTGCAAGTGTGCACTCTTGCTCATAAAACTTGTTCTAAACCAGCCGCCCTGCCCCTTCCATCCAGCGCTTCGGGATGACATTGAGCCCCAGACAATGGCACTTTTGTTGCCCAAAGCTCTTGTTGCTCAAAGCCAATCGCACAAGAACAGTGCTTTTGTGCCAAGGCTGCAGGTCTCGCCTGGACCACTGATGTCTCACCTTCTTCAATGATGTCACGCCTTCCGTAGCTCTGATGTCACTGAGACGTCTCAAAATACTGTTTATACCAGGCGGAAACTTCATGACCTTGGTAGATGTTATCAGTGGTTTGTTTACAGCTTTCAGAAATAGTTTGAGAATGGAAAAAGGGTCCCATTTTATATTAGGTGGCCTTAACTATGATGTACTTACATTTTAATTAATCATTTGATACAATGCACTTATTGTGTACATACATGCTTTTACATTGTAATTATATTTTCAAAAATACCTGCATGTAATTACATCTGTAATTAATTTCTGTAATTACATTTATAGTTACACTGTTGACCCATCCCTTACACTTTAACCCACCCTTAAACCTACCCATACCACCAAACCTGTCCCTAACCTTACCTGTATCCCACCTCAATAGCAGCAAAAGTGTTTTTCAATATAATATGTGACCCTGGACCACAAAACCAGTCTTAAGTCGCTGGGGTATATTTTTAGCAATTGCCAAAAAAACATTGTATGGGTCAAAATTATCGATTTTTCTTTTATACCAAAAATCATTAGGATATTAAGTAAAGATCATGTTCCATGAAGATATTTTGTGCATTTCCTATTGTAAATATATCAAAACTTAATTTTTGATTAGTAATATGCATTGCTAAGAACTTAATTTGGGCAACTTTAAAGGCAATTTTTTCAGTATTTTGATTTTTTTTGCACCCTCAGATTCCAGATCTTCAAATAGTTGTATCGCTGCCAAATATTATCCTATCATAACAAGCCATACATCAATGGAAAGCTTATTTATTCAGCTTTCGGATGATGTATAAATATCAATTTCGAGAAATTGGCCCATATGTGACCCTGACCCAGGTTTTGTGGTCCAGGGTCACATATGAACACAGTAAGTACATTGTACTTATATTTTGATGTAAGTACATAGCAGTTAAGACCACCTAATATAAAATGGGACCAGAAAAGGAATAGCGGCTGATGTTTGTCATGGTAATTTCTTTTATCATCTCTTTACTTCCTTTCGGTTGATGTGCCGTGGATCTAAGTTCTCAGAGTTGTATGATTCTTCACCATGGAGCACGTATTACCAGCACTCAGGAATTATTGCATTTAGGTGAGTCTGTACATGAACACAAATATCACAGTATGTTTATAAACTATATCAAAATGCCTATTTTTATCCATTGCGTTTATGTGCAAGCACACAAAATGGTTTCTGATTGGCTAAAAAGTGCCTACATCTCTATTTTTTATTTATTTATTTATTGCTGTTTTGCACTGACAGTTGTGATTTCTCAGGACATCTGTTCTGTTGCAGTGATATTAGTCAGATAGTAAGGACAGAAACTATTTTTATTATTTTAGTTGTAGTTTTAGTTACCAACAACACTGAAATTGTCTTGCAGTATGTTCAGCACTTTGTCTTATAGTCACAGCTGTTGTTCAAGTAGTACAAGTAGTAAATGTAATGTGTTTTACTTTTCTTAACAGCCAGTCCTGCTCTAATGTGATCACTCGAGGTCGTCTGCTGTACTCAGTGTGCTGGTTTCTCTGTAGTCTGTCAGTGATGGCACAGAATACCAATAGCCTTTATTCTCTGGTCTGGTGCCATTCAATGCTATATGAAATGTACAGAATGCTAAGTGTGTGTTTTTTCTTGTAGCTTTGAATGAAGGTGTTGTTAGGATGACCTGATCAGGCATTATTCCACCTGATCCTGTTTAAAAGTGCACCTAATAAGCTTTCATGTACAAAATTTGGAATCAGTAAGATTCCATATTTTTTTAATAAATTAATACATTTATTAATGTTACAAAAGTTTTCTGTTTCAAATGTGACACTGAAGACTGGAGTAATGGCTGCTGAAAATTCAGCTTTGCATCACAAGAATAAATTAGGCTACATTTTAAAATATATTATATAAACAGTTATTACTATTACTGTTATTAATATTACTGTTTTACTGTATTTTTGCATCTAAATGTAAATAAATGCCTCTTTGGTGAGCATAAGAGACTTCTTTGAAAAACATTTAAAAACACCCCAAACCTTTGAACAGTAGTGTAGGTCTGATGCCTCATTGCAACTGCACAAACTTAGTAGTCATTTACACAGCATCATTATTTGTGGGTTTCTATGTCATGCATTTGGCACCTGTTAATATATGCATTCCCCCACTTGATTTAAATTCAAAGCCTATAAAGCCATCTTGTTAAAAGTCATGTGTCCTGATGACAGTGAAGGAGTGGAAGGTCTTTGTGTGTACTACTGGAGTAAATTCTCTGCTCCTCCCGCTATTGCTGAGGAACTCCGGAGAGTGAACCCATCCCGGTTGCAACGGCGTCTACCTGGAACCAACAAGGTCCTTTTTAGCAGAAACGAGGAACGCTACTACATGGAGAGGGACGAGGACACACTGCGTCTGCTGGGTTAAGAGCATTTCATCCCTCTGTCTTTGTCTTTTGCAAAGTAATGAAAACATCTTAACGTATGTTCCTGTGTCTGCAGGTTTGAATGCAGATAACGGTGGTGATGCCGAGGATGAAGACGATGAAGATTCTGATGACAAAGCGGAAAAAATAAAGAACCCAAACTCTTTACAGAGTGGCAAGTGGCAGTTGGGGCTGCAGGGTACAACCATAATACACTGTAAAGCCTGTTGAGTTTACTCACATGATTTATGAACACTGACTCATTTGAGTTGTCAAACGTTGGTTAAACTAATCTCTTCTGTATCCTCCATGATACATCATGCCATGAGTGAAGAAAAACACAAGTAAACCATGCATAGGTAAGGCAATTCAAATGCAACCATGTCCCATTAATCCTCTGAGTAAACTCTGCATGCAAGTCCTTCCACCAGGCAGGTTTTAAAGTGTACTATCACTATCATACTATCATTCTGTCATGAAAATTCCTCTACAATCATTATTTTGGTTGTATTCTTGATTTATTTACTCATTTTGATCATGTCTTACTCTCATCTGCCTAACAGCCATGTCTTTTGACCTATACGCTAAGTATGGAAACAATCGCACACTCAGTCTTGTCAGTCCGAAGAAGCCGTATTACCAGTGGAGGCTTCGGGTGCCGTCCGGTCACGTCGTGCGACTTGTCATTCTCACACTTCAAGGGGCGACACCAGGAAGCTGCTCTGCCAACAAGCTGTCTGCTTATGATTTCCTACTGCCACTTCAGAACAAGATCATCACCAGGTAAGTGGGACAGCACTTAGAGAAAATCCGTTTTTGTCCATTTACATCTTTCTACGTGTCGGTGTTACTGATTTAATTTAGTGCTGTCAAACAATTAATCGTGATTAATCGCATCCAAAATAAAAGTTTTTGTTTACATAATATATGAGTGTGTACTGTGTATATTTATTATGTATATATAAATACAAACACATACATGTATATATTTAAGAAAAATATGTTATGTTTATACATTAAATATATTTATAGATAATATAAAATATAATAATATAAGTATATAAATGTATATACATGTAAATATTTTCAAAATATATACTAAATGTGTGTGTATTTATATATACATAATAAACAAACACAGTGCACATACATATATTTTGTAAACAAAAACTTTTGTTTTTAATCGCGATTAATCGTTTGACAGCACTAATTTAATTACAATGCTTGGAAAGTTAGTTCACCCAAAAATTAAATCATTTACTGTCAAAGTAAACCCATTTGTGATCTTGGATCACAAAGAAACATATTTTGTAGAATCTCCATACTTTTTTAATGATAGAAACAGAAACTGTCAAGTTCTAAACATGGCAAAAAAGCACCCTAAAAGTGGTGCTAAAAATCTTTTATTATTTTATTTTATTTTATTTTAATAGTTTTCTATTTTAATATATATTAAAATGTAATTTATTTAGGACATTATTGAGGACAAAGCTGATTTTTTTAGTGTCACATTACGCTTCAGAAATCACTTTAATATGTTGATGTGATGTGCAAGAAACATTTATTATGATTATCAAAGTTTAAAACAGTTGATCTGCTTAATACTTTTGTGGAAACCATGATACATTTTTTTCAGGATTCTTTGTTAAGTAGAAAGTTTTAAAGAACAGCATTTATTTGAAATAGAAATATATTTTGTAACAATATAAAATTCTTTAAGATTACTTTTAAACGATTTAATGCGTCCTTGCTAAATAAAAGTATTAATTTCTTGAAAAAAAATCCTACTGACCTCAAACTTTTGATGGAACGGCAGTGTATATTTCAAGTCTTCTGAATTCATGTTTGTTTGTTGTGAGGAATGGACAGAATTTTGCTGAACACCTCTGGTGTAGCTCTCAAATATCATTTAAATTCAAATATGCCGCATCATGACGTTGCACACCAGGTTTGATGTCAGTGGCCAGACATGTGAGCGTGATATATGGCGTGATTTAAATCAAATACAATCACAAATGCATTTTGAGCATACAAATAATATAAACTTATGTTTATATAAACTCTTTACTCAGTGGATAAATGCCGTTTTTTTTTTTTTTTGGACTGTCATTGTCAGAGTAAAGTTGGCTAAACATCAAACAACATCTCTCTTCTTCCCAGATGGTGTGGTCTGCCAATATCAGGAACATCCCCTGTAATGAAACTGACATCTTCTGGAAATGTCATGCTTGTCACATTTTCTTTCAGTCGTCAGAGGCTAGGAGCCATCTTCAAAGCTTATTTCCAAGCTATACCCAAAACCGGTGTGTGAATTAGCAGTCAGCATGAGATGCTATAATTTTAGTCATTATTCTGTTCAGGAATCAGAAATTCTTTGGTTCTGTGTCACTGTTTCTGTAGAGTGTGGTGGTTTCCTCACTGCGTGGAACGGCACGGTGACGTCCCCTTACTACCCCACCTACTACCCTCCAAATGTGGACTGTAACTGGAAAATCAGGGTGAGCTAAGGTTAAAGGCTTTCCCAGGTATCCCATGAGCCTCTTCCCCAGTGCCCTGTGAACCCCATTCAGAGGCCTGGGATGCTCCCTCTTTGAGACGAGGAGCACAGGGTGGCTGCTGCTTTGTGTAAGAGTGCATCCGATGAGAGTCTGGTTTCTCTTTTAGGCTCCGTTGCCGGGATACCTTCTCTCCGTGACCATTGTGATGCTAGACATTCAGGAGTCACCGGCCTCAAGCACCTGCGAAAAAGATTGGCTGGAAATAGGCGGCGTAAAGTGAGTGTCATGTTATTCATATGTTCATGACTAGAAAACAGCTGAGTTATTCTGATGGACGAGATGAGGCCAAATGCAGTAAGTGCATGAGTTCGATTTTCCATACATTCTTTTCAGCCAAGCATAGTTGTCTTATTTAACCCTGTTCTACTTTGCCATTAGACACGTGTAAACCAGGAGAAGTTTATTGTGTGGGTCAGTGCAGACCACACAGCCAGTGTAACACCGCATGTGGTGACAGCAGTGAAGAGAATAACTGTGGTAAGAGTGTCTTTTTTTTATCCTAAAGAAGATTTAATACTTCAGCATGCACAATTTCTCTCTTCCTGCATTCACTGATACTCAGAGATGTCTATTTTCATTGCTACAGACGTGTGGAGAGAGTTTGTGGTAAGACCTGACTATGTTTCAGTGTGTTTGTGTGTGTGCATGTATTCACCTACAGTATATGTGCGGTCACATTAAAGAAAATTTACGTGCAAAAACAAGTATAAAGCACTCACACATAAGTCACTTTCAAATTAAGCAGCTTTCTGTTGCTCAGTGAGGCAAAGTTGCTTGACTAACTTGAACATGAGCGAAATCTGCATGGGAAACCTTTAACTCAAAACTCCCATTTGCGGATTCCTTTTGAAATGACTATTTTGCTTGCGAAATTTCACCAAGCAACGGTAATTGTGACCAACAACTTATACATTTGTCAAACTCATTTCTTTTTGGGTTCAATTTGCCCACTTTTTAGGAGGTAAATGCTACCATATGTGCCCAAACAAAATCTGCCTCCCCAAAGCCTCAGTGTGTGATGGGATTGTGGACTGCAAAGACCGCAGTGATGAACTCAACTGCACAAGAGCATGTGAGTAAAACCAACTTTACCTACAATTCTGCTCTATTTTGTCATCATTCCTTGCTTACTGGACCAAAAATGCATTTGGACAATCAAGCCACATGGATTTCAGTACGAACACATTCATAACAAACGCAAATGGCACAATCAGAAAGAAATCTGTGTGAAATCTTTTTTATGATCATATGTCCTCTAGTTCTTTAATTTACCGGTAAACAGTGATGCTGAATATTCTGTCTCTCTGATCATTGCAGTTTCTAAAGGATGCTCTCCTTCCTCCTTCAAATGTGCCAGTGGAAAGTGCTTGAGTAAGATCAATCCGGAGTGTGACGGCATTAAAGACTGCAAAGATGGTTCAGATGAGTTGCGCTGTAGTGAGCATTCTCATAGAATTACATATTCACATCAAATGTATTATTATAGGCAAGTTTCTTTGCTTGCATAACAAATCCTACAAATGCCATGCTGTGCATGTAGGTTGTGGCACGAGGCCCAGGAAGAGGGCAAAGATTGTGGGTGGAAAGGATGCCCAGGCAAGCTCATGGCCATGGCAGGTCAGCCTTCAGATGGAGCGCTATGGTCATGTGTGCGGGGCATCTCTGGTGGCCAGCCGCTGGCTTGTCTCTGCAGCGCACTGCTTTCAGGACTCAGATGCAATCAAGTGAGGTTTTATTCAGGCACATGCACTACTGTTCAAAAGTTTGGGGTCAGTATTCATTTTTGGATACTTAATAGGATACTTTGGATACAGGCTATTTAAGTGACTAGGACTCCGAAATATGTGACACTCCAGGTATAAGGTGTTTGTTTATGTTTTGGCAGGTATTCTGATGCGCGATCATGGAGGGCCTACATGGGCATGCGAGTAATGAACTCGGTCAGCAACGCAGCGGCCACCAGACAAATCCGTCGCATCGTCTTGCATTCGCAATACGACCAATTCACCTCCGACTATGACATCGCCCTTCTAGAACTAAGCGCCCCTGTCTTTTTCAATGAGTTGGTACAGCCCGTCTGCGTTCCTGCCTCCTCTCACGCCTTCACCTCCGGAACCAGCTGCTTTGTCACTGGATGGGGGGTTCTGTCAGAAGAAGGTATGGCACATTGTAGAAACTCATTCAGAACAAACAATTACTTCTTGTTGAGCTGAAGCAAGACAACGTTAGCAACACTGTCTTGAAACACATGATTCATACGATGACTAAAGGTGAGAAAAACGCATTCTAAAGAAATCATCTTTGACCACACCCACTGAAAAATCCCCCAGGATCCCCATCGAAACGGCAAAGTCATTAGATATTTCCATGGTTCACAGAAGCGGAAGTCATCATAGTTGGGTAAACAGAAACTACAAGAAATATATTTATATATTTTTTTTGTTTTAATTTCCCCAATAGCAAAAGAAGAATCTATGATAGCATTTCTATAACCTTGCAAAAGAGGAACAAATATATTGTGAGAGAAATATGTCAAATTTGCCATCACTCCTTCAGCCGCTATTGGAAACACTAATGCAGCAGGGTTAACTGGTTTTATTAAATTTAATGCCATGGTTATATAACACAAAGATAGTGTTATAGATGTACTTTAAATAAAAGAAAAAGAAAAGAAAATATACTTATTTTTTTGTAAATATCAAATTAAAATTTGTCATTTTTTGCTAGATTTATGATACGAATTTCATTGGTACTTATATTTGCTATGGAGATCTTATTTCAAAATGATTTTAAAACGCATGCCTGACTAATAAGAAATGAATTTATTTTTATATTTGAAATATTTTTATGTCCGTAAATTTTAACGAGCAGAAGGGTTTTAGACAAATAAGTCGGATTAAACAAGTAAAATCGGTTGCAAACACCATTTCATGTCATTACATGCATTGTTTCCATCTAAAAACTTCTGATTTCAGGTGAATTGGCCACATTGTTGCAAGAGGCCACCGTTAACATCATCAGTCACAACACTTGTAATAAAATGTATGACGATGCGGTCACTCCCAGAATGCTTTGCGCCGGAAACATTCAGGGAGGAGTGGATGCTTGTCAGGTTAGTGCGTGCTTTTGTGTTCACTGCTTGTCAATGTTCACCGTTCATATATTCACATCTGTGTTCACACAGGGAGACTCTGGGGGACCTTTAGTGTGTCTGGAACGTGGCCGGAGGTGGTTTCTAGCAGGCATTGTGAGCTGGGGTGAGGGCTGTGCCCGACAGAACCGGCCTGGAGTTTACACACGTGTCATAAAGTTCACAGACTGGATTCACCAGCAGACGAAAGGCCAGGTGTGACTAACACATGCACACATATATTTACACCAGAGAACGGGTGATTGGCCCACACTCAGTTGCATGTGATCGAGGTGCACCGGCCCAGCTCTCATGGTGCCCAGACACACAGCAAACATCAACACCTCTGCATCGGAAGCAATTTCCCATCAATTCCTGTTGCTCAGCATTTGAAACCTCTACCCATGGTCTGCCAGCAGCTCCACTCCCCTCTTTATGCCCCAAACTCATAAGAACCACCTACAAACCAACTGTATTCTATAAAGCCTTGACAGTGGACTACTAGTGTCGAGATTGAGGAGATTATTTGCAGTGGAAAGAGTTCTCTTGGTAAGATTTGTGTTATTTGCATACAGTGGCTAAATATTAGCTTTCATTCATTTATTCATGTTAATGGAATCATTTAGATTTTTTTTCATTGTTTAAGAATGATATAAACATGGTCCTTTTCAAATATGTCCAACTGTGAAACTGATTGCATGTCAGAAATGATGACCAACATAAATTTTAATCATTATTGTTACTGTTTTGTATGTTTTTGTAGGGTTTTTGTTATCACAAAGATTATTGGCTTCTCCCTTATTGGGAGAGAGCAGCGGCAGCCCCTAAGACTCTCTCTACTGGTCGTGATTTGACATTACATCTTACTCAGTACTTCTTTAGTTATGCACACATTAGGATCTGTATACCTGAAAAACCAGATGTAAATGTCAAAACGGAGCAAATGTTGATACTTTATATTAGATATATGAAAAATAGAATTATATTAAAAAGAGGTGCTACATTACTTCCACTCTGTGATCTGTTTTTATATTGCATGTTTCAATGAAGTGTAATCATGCCTGAGTGTTTCTTACTGGTTTCTTTCTTATTTAATGTGAATATAATCATGGTTAATGCATATAATATATTTTTAGAGGTATGAAAACACAAATGAGTCAGTTGTTTCTCCTAGACAGCAATAAGATTAAATGTTCAAATTGTTTTTTTTTCTCTCTCTCTCTCATTAGCTTTTTCTTTTGAGAAGAATATTGAATTAATCTCACCTGCCCCTGAGATTTTCAAGTGATCTTGACAAAGTCTCAAACTGGGCTCAAATTTTTAATTTGAATTAAAATGAGAGATTCCAGTATGATCTCAAATGTTTCTCATCAAATCTTCCAAGACCAACTATCTGAGCTTAATTGACTTTTTTGTATGACAACAATTGTCTCATTTGTGTCCATTTTTATTTCACCTGAGGAATTTTAGGAGAAACATCTGAGACAAAGTTGATACTTAAAAGAAATAAAATGGAGGATATAACGGAAAGAGTGGTATCTTAGAGCAAGTGTCCTTGGTGTTATTTTATATTAATTACTCTTCTGTTCGTTTGTATTAACTTCCTATATTATGCATTGTTAATGTGCAAGCAGCATAACCAACATTTCGTTTTTTCCTCACTCCTAGTCTCTCTGAAAGTTGTTTACCCTCATGGATTTACTCTCCTCTTTTAAGTCAAGTCAAGTCAAGTCACCTTTATTTATATAGCGCTTTTAACAATACAGATTGTGTCAAAGCAACTGAACAGCATTAATTAGGAAAATAGTGTGTCAATAATGCAAAATGACAATAGTAAACACAAATTTTTCAGTTAAAGACAGTTCATCATTGAATTCAGTGATGTCAACATCCAGCTCAGTTTAAATAGTATCTTTGCAATCAAGTCAACGGTATCGCTGGAAATGAAGTGTCCCCAACTAAGCAAGCCAGAGGCGACAGCGGCAAGGAAACAAAACTCCATCGGTGACAGAATGGAGAAAAAACCTTGGGAGAAACCAGGCTCAGTCGGGGGGCCAGTTCTCCTCTGAGAATAAGGATGGCAAGGGTGGGATAACTTCAGACAGCATTGGATTTACAGCAATAAGCTTGTTTATTCATGATTTTATTGATGAAGTGGAGGAGAGACACAGGAGCGGTGCTGTACATCGAGCCCTTGTAGGTCACGTCAGTCGCGCGGGATGGGTGTGTCGATGAGCGTCACGGAAGCTCCGGTGGCAGTGGGAAATGAATAAATCCCAGCCCGCGGTCATAATGGGCAAGAGTTTAACTGGAATTCATGCGTGGTCCTCCTGTTTCAAGAGTTCATATACTCCGGACGATACTGAAGTTGATTGTAGTCCATGTGAAAGCAGGGTTTGAGGAGTTTTGGCGTTGAAAGGTGAATTGATTCTCTGGAGTATTGGATCTGCAGTGTTTCTTCATAGGTGTTCATATCCAAGCAAAGGACCTCAAGCAAGACCAAGAGAATGTTCGATATATTATTTGTGATGATATTTGGATTGTCGGGGCGTGTTCTGACTAAAGGTAAGTATAATGGACTTTACTTTTATCATAGAATATCAGTTTTCATTCTTATTCATATTAAACATCTAAGCCATACATTCATTTTTCAAATACGCACGGTTTCATACTCTATCAGTGCTAAAGGATGAAATAACATTTTGGGAATGCTTGAGGATGAGTGTGGCATTCCTTATTCACAGCGCATCCTTTGCATTTCATAATGAGGAGACTTCCATTCACTTTGGATAAACACTAACTTGTTAGCATTTTTTTTTGTGTGTATTCATGCCCAGTTGGTAATAATGCGTGCTGCAAAAACGCAAAATTACGCGCTAAACGAACGTAAATTACGCGCTGAATCAGATGTGCTACAATTTGTTTTTCCAAGAGTATGGCAAGCCTATTTAACATTTACATTTATAATTTAAAAGAACTAGTATTGTTTGTTACTAGTAGCATTTACGTTTTTATTAATAGAACTGAATCCAACTAGACTATCTATACAATTAGTCACAATTGTCCAAACGACTTGTCTGAAAATAATAGTTGACATCTGAAACTCATATCCCCATAAAATTTGATTGCAAAAAAATTACACTTTGTTACAGAAAAAAAACAGTAGTTTACTTGTAACTATTTTGAGTGGGAATGCTATAATCTAATGATCTGGCAATAATATTTAATGAACTAGTGAAATGGAAAAGAATCAGAATGAGTAATACAAATGCATATAAAAATTCACAACAGACAAAATAATTTATGTGGACACTAGAGAAAACACATATACAATCATAGAGATACAATATTGTACAAATATAATTGCTTATTAATAATATAATAAATACTAATATAAAACACATTAGTTTTAAGAAATAAATGCTAAATCGGCCTGCCATAGCAGGACAAGTTGTTTTGATAGTAGAGACCTCTCTGCACTTACTTGGCATCCGTCTTTAATGTTTGGCCCCGGTTGAATCAGAGAGGGCGTTATTTCCTGAGCCTGATGACTTTGTGAAATGAAAGTTCTAATATAAATGACTTCGGGGTCATGACCACCGTGAGGCAGGAACCAGCGCTGATCAGGGTGTTATAGCTAAAACAGACCCAAGGGGAGGAAGCAAGGGGTGAAGCGATGTACTGTCCGCACTGCGTGATTATTAGTGCTTTATTGGTCAACAATTCACCACTCACATCACAGGATAGAAAAATGAAATTGATTAATGGCCAAACGTGTTTTAAGCATATGTCCCATCTGCGTGGTCAAAAGCATAGTTATACCGGAAAAATTATTTTGTAAAATTAATCAGGATATTGGATTTTAGAAAGATTCCTTAAAAAAAAAGTGCTACAAACAAAATGCACTAATAAAACAATTTCAAATTAACAAAAATAATTCACTATTTAAAAAAAAAAAAAGTAATGTAAAGAAAAAAAAGTAATAAAGAAATGTAGTAATGCAAATTAAATAATTATAATAATAATTGCATTTCCGTTTAGCTTATTCTTGTTCAAATTAAAGTTCTAGTTTGCAGCACCTTAAGAGTTCAGCAAAGAACCTTCTTATCAAGAAACGTTTTCCTTTTATAGTTCTTGAATCGGCTTTATTATTCTTTGTGATCAATAAAGTTAAGCACTTAAAGTTAAGCAAAGAATAAAATTCCTTTGTAGAACTTAAAAATGTTTTCTTTACTTACCTTTAACCATTTAGAATAGCACGCACAAGACTCATTTTTTAATAATCTATTTAAATAACGAAAATTTCCAGTAGCCTATAGTTTCCCAGTGGGTGCTGTTTTAGCTAGCTACTAATAATTTTACGAATCAGTCTTTATAGATATTGATGCATTTTTTTTCTTGTGATATTTAAGTTGTCACACAAGTAAAGACTAAAGTAAAGAATTAAATTAATAAACACAAAAATGACATAAATGCGTAGTGTTGATAAAGTCGTTTCCGACAAATGTATAACTCAAATTAAAATAATTTTTAAGTGCATGCAACATCCATTCAGTGTTTTTATATTCTACATTTGTATTAAGCCCTTGTTCGTGTAACTGACCTTTCCTACGTGCTTCGCTGTTTAAACTTCAGCCTTATTTGCTCTGGTTCATTAGCGTTTATTCAAATATGACGTGTAAGGTTTGTTGAATTTGGCAGGTTTTTGTGCCGAGTGCCGTCATTAGTGGCAGGCGCTCTTGTTGAGGGTTTCTGAAACGGAACCTCAGCGTGTGGACCGGCTGATAACGAGCCTGTTTGAATCCCATGCGGGACTCACTGTGGGAAAAAGTGCTTGACTCCTACTTCCTTTTTTCATTGGTCTAACTACAATGCAATTTTAATGTATAGCCTAGACGGCACATGGCCTGCGCATAGCGTGTGAATAATGGAAAGGAAATTATGCTGGTAGTTAAAAAAATAAGGGGGAAAAAAAGCAATAAACAATGGTGAGAGCTGTTCGTGTTGTAGCTATAGACACGTCTGCATGGAGACGAGATGTTTAAAATCATATTGAATTATGTGCCACCTTAACCCACAGTTAAGTGTTTTTTTTTCTAAACGACAAAAAGAGATGAAAGCTGGAGTATGCGAACACTATTTTTGATTTAGTGTATTTGTGCTTCTGCATATTAAATAGGCTATTAATGTCACAGCATAACGCGGATATGGTAAATCATTTTTATAGGCCTGTTATTCAGTACAAAATACTAAGTCGTTACGTTCGATTTATGTTCCATTGGGCGTGCTGTCTTATTAATCAGATGAATACAATTAAATTTATGCATGAATTTGTGTACATATATTACAAGAAGATAACAAGAAAATATCTATATGCAAAGTTGAAAAATACGTTATTATAATTATCCTATACTAATAGATACAGACTTGTATGTCACAAACTAAAGAAGTAAAATGATTTCGATGGTATTTTGAACAGTCTACAGCTGACATTTTACGTTTATTTTATTTATGTACTTATTTACCAACAGTAAAAAAATGACAATCTAAAAGAATTGGATGTATTTAGTTTTTATCATCATTATTATTATTAATATTATTATTAAAAATGTTTTTAAACACCACATTAATGTGATGTTTTCTGATGATTTTAATTAAATGAATCTCCTTTATTTAATCTATAAACATTGCCTTGTAAAGATCGTCAAGTATCTCTGAACAATACTCAATTGACCTTCAATAACAACCGTGAAAAAGTTGTGCTGTGCTCAGAAGCACCTAAAATATAACTCTTATCAGTATTAACAGGAACTGTGGGTATGTTTCTATAGCTTTAGATGGCATAATCCTATTTTATGTAAGTTCTACATGGACTCTTATCACCTAAATGTGGTCAATGTCACTCTGTAATCAATGTCACTCAATGTCAATGTCAATGTCACTCAGTGTCACTCTGTAAAGCTTTACAGTATCTTATTCAGCAACCTCTAAC